CCCCGATCAGCCACTTCGACGAGGTGCACGAGAGGTACGCGCTGCAGCTGGGAACCCAGAATGGCCGACGATAGCTGGGGCACGATTCCACCTGCCAGCGGGCGCCACCTGCGAGGACAGCATCGATGGGCAGACCGTTCCCAGCAACGCGCTCGACGCAATCGAGGACACTGCCGTCGCGCGACCGCCTTCGCGAGAGGGGCCAGCATGGAAGCCGCCGACGTCCATTTTGGCGCGCGGTATCGCCTGGGCTACAATAAATCACGTCGGCGACCTTATGTCCCCCTGCAGCTTTGGATGCGCAGGCTGAGGAGAGGAGGCAGCTGACCGGTGGGAGACCTCATGCGACGACAGCTCCGAGGAGGAGGACCAAGGACTAAGGAGAGCTTGAGATGAAAGGCTTCGCAAAGCGGGCGCCGATCAGCGAGCGTCGAACTGCGCGCGCTCAATGCGCAGCTCGTCAAGCAAGACCGGCGCAGACCGCGCCAGCATGTCCCCTTCCAGCCGAAGATAACGAACAGGGTGATAATTTAAAGCCGAACGCGCGCGACACCCCACGCAGACAATCTTCTACCACTGACCTGTTCACCTCCACCTTTCTACTCACCAGACTACGTCACGTGGGGCGAGCGCTGCACTCGCTGCCGCAAGCCCTGCAAAGAGCAGCCGAACTATCCGACGGGCTACCCGCGTCACCAAGTCACCGACTGTCTCTACCACGTCCGTGGGCCGCCTACAGATATCTAGGCGAGCAGGACATGTGGAACGCCCAGGGATACGACTTCAACTGGGACTCCAACGAGACGACGTGGGACGACCCAGGCAACGTGCTACTTGCCGAGGGATGCGAGCGAGCCTTGTCCTCCGAGAGCGACGAGTGTTTCTACGACAGCAGACGACGCCACATTAAAGCACCCACCCATCGCCACGAGGGACCGCGCGCAACTTCCGCCACCACCAGCGCCCCCTGCTCCACAGAGGCCGAGATCGAGATCCCTATCTCCGCAGGCAGAATCGTGCAATGTAAACGTATCGGTCCTCGGAAGCACCATCAGGAGGTACCAGAGCGGACTTGATTGAGGGCGGTGTTGACAAGGACCGGGGCGGGTAAAGCAAACCCCGGATCCGGGCCGGGTCCGGGCCGGGTCCGGGCCGGGACGCCGGGTCCGGGCCGGGTCCAGGCCGGGTCCGGGTCTGGGCCGCTATAGTGGCCGGGTCTGGGTCCGGGCCGGGCCCGGGCCGGGTGGGGGCCGGGTCCGGGCCGGGTCCGGGCCGGGTCCGGGCCGGGTCCGGGTCCAGGCCGGGTGTGGGCTTGGTCCGGGCCATGTCCGGGCCGGGTCCGGGCCGGGTCCGGGCCAGGTCCGGGTCCGGGCCAGGTCCGGGCCGGGTCCGGGCCGGGTCCGGGCCGGGTCCGGGTCCGGGTCCGGGCCGGGTCCGGGCCGGGTCCGGGCCGGGTCCGGGCCGGGTCCGGGCCGGGTCCGGGCCGGGTCCGGGCCGGGTCTGGGTCCGGGCCGGGTCTGGGCCGGCTCCGGGCCGGGTCCAGGTCCGGGCCGAGCCTGGGCACCGGGTCTGGGCCGGGTCGGCGCCGCCAGGATGTCGCTCAAAAACCCCAAGAATTCTCGAATAAGCACCCAGGAAGCTTCAAAACTGTTCCCGCGAGGCCCCCGCGGAAACCTCAAGACACCCGAACCAGCATCCAACAAGCCTTTGACCCACATCCCAAACATAGTGGCGGGATGGGCCGAAGGCCACTGGATCCGCCGCCCCTTGTTCATTTATCACAGCGGTGCCTGCATAAACCGGATGATAATTCATGATTTTGGCCTGTTCGGGTCTGCCCCGAGTACCTTTTTGAAGGCTTCTTGGGCCGTCTTGGAGGCCTCTTGGAAGCCTTTTGGACCGTCTTCGGACATCTTGAGGCCCTCTTGGGCCGACCTGGTGGTTGTCTAGCTGACTTGGAGGAATCCTGCACCCTCCCGGGCCGTCTGGAAAGCCATCTTGTACCATCTACGGCCCGAAAACCGACCCGTATGTTGAGGGCGGTTTTTCGAGAGGCCAGCGCGCTCGGCGAAGCCCCAAGGGGATTTTCCTTTGGAGGAGAACCAAAACCACGGCTTCAGACGTATAGCACGCCAGGATGTTGGCATTTACTTCTATCGGCGTTCCGACGGCCCAAAACGGCCCAACCGCCCCCCCAAATCGTCTCAAAATCGGCCAAGAGGCCTCCAAGATAATTAGCCCCAGAACGGCCCAAGAGGCCCCCAAGACGGCCCCTTGAGAGCTCCAAGACGGCCCAAGAGGTTTCCAAGACGCCCGAATTGGGCCTCCGAGACGGCCCTGATGCATCCAAAGGGGGGCCCAAGTCGGTGCAGAGATGGCCCCAAGACGGCTCCCGACGGCGTCAGACGGGCCACGAACGCGGTAAAACGGCCGCAGACGCCCCCACGAAAACCGCAAAGGCCCCCGGGAGGCCCCCAAAAGGCCCCCACGAGGCTTCCAAGGGCCCCCAAGAAGCTCCCAGGAGGCCCCACGAGTGCCCCAAGAGGCTCCCAAGATGCCGCCTCCTCCTCCTCCTCCTCCTCCTCCTCCTCCTCCTCATCATCATCATCATCATCCTCCTCTTTCGGCATCCCCTCGAAAGCGTTTTTCCATATTTTCGCGTGGCAGAGTGCTCAGGTGGGACAACAGCGGGTGGACCACAGCTTTCAATCCCGTCAGCTCGATAGATCCCGCCGCCCACCACAGATTTGTTCACGAATTTACCCTTTCTCTGGGATGCAAAAACCAGTCGGACAAGGTCTGATTATTGTTCTGTGGTCACGTGGCTTCCAGGAGCTCCGCCATGGAGGGCGCTTCATCAACATTATCGTCATCACCATCATCATCATCATCAGCAGCAGCAGCAGCATCATCATCATCATCAGCAGCAGCATCGTCATTAGCAGCGTCACCATCATCATCATCACCATCATCACCATCATCGTCATCATCATATTCCTTCCTCCCCTGATCCTCCCTTTCATCCTCCCCCCAGTGTTCCCCCAAAAAGTTCCACAACGGCTGGGGGGGCGCGTAATCCGATAGCGTTCCCCCCAGAATTTCCACAGCGGCTGGGGGGGACACATTATCCGATAGCTTGGCCAAGCTAGGGTCCAACGTTTGACCACAGAGGCGTTCCCCAACAAGCAGGGGGGCGGCGGTAATTGGCTGTGTGCGTCTTCGATGATGATGTTGATGATGACATGATGTGATCGTGTGGCGGTGACGATTGGGAAAGGTGAAGCCGCTCCCGCTTCGGACATCGAAGGGCAGCGTGTCCATGTGATCGCTGGCAAAGAATACGTAGCACCCCGCAATTGCGGATAAGAGTGAGGGGGCGGGCGCGGGCGACGCGGGCGTCGTCGAGCCGGCGGACCTCGTGGCCCCCACCTTCCCTTCGATGACGCTCCTCCTCCTCCTCCTCCTCCTCCTCCTCCTCCTCCTCCTCCTTCTCTTCCTCGTCCTCGTCCTCATCGTCATCGTCATCCTCCTCCTCCACCTCGTCGTCCTCCTCCTCCTCTTCTTCCTCGTCCTCCCTCTCCCCCCCTCGTCCTTCCATATCGTCCTCCCATTGTCGTCCATCATCATCATCCTCCCCCTCCTCCCCCTCCTCCCCCTCCTCGTGCTCCTCCTCCCTTTCCTTCCCCTCCTCCCCCTCCTCGTCCACCTGCTCCTCTTTCTCCACATTCTCCTTACATCCTCTCTTCTTCCGCGTCCTCCTCGTCCCCTGTTTACTCCTCCTGCCTCCCCCTTCTTTCCCAAGATAACGGCAACGCAATCCTTTTTTCCACTTTATGCTCCCCGACTTTACTGATCAAGGCAACTCGCCAGGGCAAAATTGCTGGACGGGCTGGTGTGGATGCGCGGGGCTTGAAGAGGTCGTTGCGGGCTCAGACGGCATGCAAGAATCCGCCGCCGCGCTTGTGCGGCATTGGCTTGTTCAGTGAACGTGGTTTAGGTCGCGGGTGGGTCGCGGGCTCTCCACCTCCACCTGGAAGGAATGCAAAAGCAGCCCGCCGCAGGCGCCGAAACAATTGGTTCGCATGCCCGCCGCAGGCGCCGAAAAAATAGTTCATACCCTGAACGTGGTCGCGGGTGGGCCGCGGGCTCTCCACCTGAAGCGAATGCAAAAGATGCCCGCCGCAGGCCCCGAAAAATGTGGTTTGTATCTTGAACGTGGTTTAGGTCGCGGGTTGGTCGCGAGTTGGTCGCGGGGTGGGTCGCGGGCTCTCCACCCGAAATGCACCCCCCCCAAAAAAAAAAAAAACGCCGCAGGCGCCGAAAATTATGGTTTGTACCTTGAACGTGGTTCGGGTCGAAAGTCTAGTGGGTCGCGGGTGGGTCGCGGGGTGGGTCGCGGGCGGGTCGCGGGTGGGTCGCGGGTGGGTCGCGGGTGGGTCGCAGGGTGGGCCGCGGGCGGGTCACGGGTCGCGGGTGGGTCGCGGGTGGGTCGCGGATGGGTCGCGGGGTGGGTCGTGGGGCGGGCCGCGGGGTGGGTCGCGGGTGGGTCGCGGGTGGGTCGCGGGTGGGTCGCGGGGTGGGTCGCGGGGTGGGTCGCGGGGTGGGTCGCGGGGTGGTTCGCGGGGTGGGTCGCAGGCGGGTCGCGGGTGGGTCGCGGGCGGGTCGCGGGGTGGGTCGCGGGGTGGGTCGCGGGTGGGTCGCGGGGCGGGTTGCGGGGGGACGACGACAACAAACAACAACAACAAAAAACAACAACAAACAACAACAAACAACAACAACAAGAATCCGCACCGCGGAATCCCACTTCAGCCACGCACCCAGGGACAGTGAATGCCGTTCGGCCCCTTCGCTCTGATAAGAGACGATCACATCGAATGGATGGGCGCGCCTGTGTGTTCTCCCAGGTCCGCGTGGAATGAATCAAACCCAAGGCCGCAACCATGTGTGCAGCGAGCGGCGCCGAAGCGGAAGCGCCACCATGTTCGCGCGCCGTGCCGACATCAGGCGGCGTTCTTCAAGCTGTCCCCCAGAAGGGAGGCCTTGCTCATGAAGTTTGCGAAGTCGAAGTCCGACGACGGCACCCGAGCATCATTTGCATCCTTCATCTTTTTTGTGCCTTTTGGCGTGAGGCCCAAGCGTGATTGGAGCTCCTGGTAAACAGCGTTTTTGTGTTCGGCAGGCACCTGGTGCATTTGCACCGCGGACCCTCCGTGTTGGAGCGTGCCGAAGCCAGCGGCGTCGGCGAACCGAATCATCAGGCGCATGGAACTCTCGATGACCTCTGGGGTGGCCCCAGTGAACGAGGACTTGTTCTTGGCAGCCGCGTACGGGTTCTGAGCGCTGCTCAGGATAGACACCAGGATCCTCTTCTTGAGCCCAGGCTCCTCCTCGAAACTGTCCTCCGCCAGCGGGGCCTCAGTGCGCATCCTTTTGCGAGAGCCTCCAGTTCCTGCTGCTGCCTCGTCTGCGGCCGGGGGCGCGGCTTGCGTGAGCCCCGACGCTGTCGCGGCCGAAGCGCCAAGCTGGCTCGGCGGGCCCACGGGCGGAGGGGCGCCCACCTGCGACGCTGGCACGCTCTGGCCGCGCACCTCGGCGACGAGAGGGGCCTCCAGAGCGCGGAGCTGGTCAAGATCCACCGGCTTGCCGTCGAGCATGTCCTTCAAGCCTTGGCAGATCTGATCGGCCACGCCCTGGTCCCCCTCCTCGCGCGCGCCCGCAGCGCCCTCGGGCGCCAACTCGCGCAGGTCGCGGAGGACGACGCTGGGGTCCCACTTCATCATGCGGCTGGCGGCTCTCGCGAAGCTCTCGCTGTCGGCCGCGCACGCAGCCGCAGCGACGCGACCGTCTGCGACGAGGAGGAAGCCCATGTGCGTCAGAATGACGTAATCCAGCTGCAAAGCCCTGATGTCGGCGTCGGTGGTGAAGGGGTTCTGCGCGAAAGCTTTGACGTTCCAATTGTTGGCGATGCGCTGCAAGGTCAGCATGGGGTTCACCTTGGACACGACATCATGCCCTACGAGCCTTTCCGCAGACGCGAGGGCGGGGGGCGGCATGGATGCGAAGCGCGCGCGGGCCTCCATGAAGTCTTCGGTTACCTCCTTGGCGCGCACCGTCATCTGGAAGTTCTTGGCAAACCAGTCCCCCAACGCCACGGCGGCGTCAACTGATGGCCGCGTCACCTCGGGGAGAATGTGGGACGGGTCCAAGTCGTCCAATAGGGCAGCGATGTTCGCGTTGGCACGCTTTCCCAAACATTCCACAATCACTTCCCCAGTCATCTCCTGTACCTGGTTATCACTCTTGCCAGCCTTCCACAGGAGGAATCCCACCACTTTCTCCCCCACGTCGATCGGCGGGATGAACTGGGGCGTCCGCGTCATGTCCTTCCGGACGGCGGAATATCCGCTGTCCTCGTTATCCCCCTTGGACGCCCGGGCCTCGCCGCGGACGAAATCGGCAGACTTGTTGAACTCGGTGCGGAAGTGCTCCTTGACTTCTGGGGCCCAGGGCAGGAAGTGCGTCCCGCGAGCTCTGGAGAAGCGGTCGCTCGAGCCCCTCTCGTCACGCCGCTCCTTGCCCTTCGGGAACAGGAGAGACGAGACCAGCATGACCCCCCCCCCAGCGCTTCCACGACGTCGTCGTAGGTCAGATCGTTGAAGTAATTCGGGCCGCTATCCAGAATCCGGGCAAGCTGCGGCGGGGGCAAGTCGGGCAAGATCTTGCTGACCACCGCGATGAAGTGGCCCACGAGGAAGCGCATCATGCCCGCTGTTGAGTCTGGTTTATGCGCCTGGTCATAAACCTCTTCGACGTGCATCATGACTGCCCCGCGCAAGTGCGGGCTCCTGACGCGGAACCTGTTTTGGCTGTTACCGGGGTGATTATTGGAGAGGTCGTTGTCGTGGTTGTCGTGGATTTGGTTGAGGTCATCAATGCCGCCGCCAGGCCCACTGTCGAACGTCTGGGGCAGCCGCGTCTTCCCCTCGTGCAGCGCCAGGAACGCGGCATCCTCTTGCGCCTGCGGGAACCCTCCAAGGCCAATGAAGGTGCCCATGTTGAAAATGGAATCCTTCTCTGGCTTCTTTTCTGGTTTGGGTTCGGTCTCCGGGTCTCGCTCATGCCTCTCGAGAGCGGCATCGTACCTCCGCTTGGCGCGGGCCTCTCTCACCTGGTCGTAGTAGGACAGGATCTGAACGTCGAGCCACAAGGCATTGGACTTGCCATCTCCCGGCTCGCCGTGCTGCAGCATGAGCAGGTTGCAGCGGCGCGCGAGGATCCCGCCGTACTTGAGCTGGACGGCGCCCAACGTTGTCGCAATGAGGAGCAGGATGTGGACGTGCACGCAGGAGGGGCGCAGCGACGTCGCCTTCCCCAGCGCAGTCGCGATGGCCCACAGCAGCGGCGACGCGCGCCGCGCGACCTCCTCGGGAAATGGGTTTTGACTCTCCATTAGGCGATAGGCTGCTCGGATCCCCCCCTTGGCGAGCGCGGGGGGTAGCGCGCCCTCCGCGGGGCGGGCCATTCGACGGGCGCCCTTCCCCGCCCCGGCGACGCCCGCGATGCGGAAGCACAGCGCGAACATCAATGCGCTGGCAGGCGGCGCGGCGGCCAGCAGCGCGGGCCTAGCAGGGGCGGGCGGGCGGCGCGGCCAGCGGGCGGCGCGCCGCGCAGACTCGGTCGATAAGGTCTGCGGCGGCGAGAGAGCTTGCCGCGGGCGGGCTCGGAGGGGCCCCGTGGGGGGCGCGGATGCCTCGTGGGGCCAGTTCGCCGAATCGAATAAACGAAATGCCCAGTGGCGCCGCTCCTGGGCCTCGTCAAGAGCCGCCATATTTTCCTTCGGGCGGCCAAATGCATTGCTGGGGCGGCGCGCCCTTGCGCGCGCGGCCGAGGGGGGCGACGGGCGGGCCTGCTGGCTCGGCGGGGGAGAACGACTTGGATTCGGCGATGCATCGACGATGGGTCGGCATGGGCCGCGCGGGGCCCAGGCCCCGATCGGCGACGCAATGGCGACGTGAGGTCGATCGCACCCGCCTGCGCAAGCCCCGCCAATCGCCCCCCTTGGCGTCGCTCGGGCCCGCCGCGGCTTCGCGCGGGGGCGGGGCCAAGGCGGGCGCGCAATCGAGGTCGCCTTTGCGGCCTCGGCTGCCCTGGCCCAGATCACTCCGCTCAAGCCGCCGGGCGCGTGCGCGGGGCCGGCAGGTCAAGGTCGCGCTTCAGGGCCCCGGCGGCGAAGCGGCGGCGCTTGCTCGCCGCCGCGCGCTGCAGCCGCTCGTTATGGACATTGAACAGAATCCGCAAGCCCCGATGGGGGCACCCGTCGGAGCAGCGGCGCGCGGCGCGCGGGGGGGGGGGTCCGAAGTTCTCGACCCGGGAGCCCTCAACCTGCCTCGCCCCACCCGCCAGCAAAGAGCGCTCGCGGGCCCCGCGAGCGTGAAGGGCGCAGCCGGGAATGGCGAATCAGCCATGATATCCACCAGTGGAGCTGGAAATGGGCTCTCGTCATCTCGAGGCATATGCGCGTCCGGGGGCTGATCCACGCATTGAGCTGCTCGCAAGCCTCCGTGTTCCTCAACGCCAAAAACTTCTCGTTCGCCGGCTGCAGCGGGTCAACTTCCGGGAGCGCATTCAGACACCACGTGTGGTTGTCCCTGTGGAAACCGTCCAGGACAATGCGCACTTCCTCAGCCAGCGATTTCGTCCACGGCAGAAAATCATCTTTCCCGGCGCGTGCCATGGAGAGCAACTTGCAGGCGTTGTTGTAGCCGAGCCACCCGATGACGCAGCCGAGGCCCGGGGCGCCCTCTCGAGCGATCGAGGGGCCCACGAAGGCGAGCGGGGGCTCCGCTGGGAGGAAAAAGGCAAACTTGGACAACGCAGCGCAGCTGCACTCGCGAGTCGCGCGGCGGGGGCCGCCCGGAGCTCTTCGGCGCTGTGTTGTCCCGCTCCTACCCCTTTTCCTTCCTCCTGGGGATCCGCCCATCTTCGCGGGGCGCCAGATCGAGCAAAGTGCCCCGCGGCGACGAGGGTCCTTGGAGCCGCAAGGCGAAGGCGTACACGACCTCGATGGATTCGCCGCGGGTCAGCTCCATCCAATCCACGAGCCAGCCGCAAGACGTGACGGCCGTCATAATGCCGCCAGTGCATCTCCGGACTTTGTCGGAGCCCTGGAGCTTGTCGACGCCGCAGGCCAGGATCGACTGCTTCTGTTCGTCGTCCAGCGCAAGCCAGCCGCGGCAAAGCTGGCGCTTCGCACCTGCAGTGTCGCCGCCGCCGCCGCGCGTGGGGCGACTCGGCGGCTGTGGCGCAGAGGAGCGGGCGGCCGTGAAATCGGGGCGGCCAGCTCGCTTCGGCGCGGGCGCCTTCCGCTTCCTTGGCAGCCCTGCTGCCGCTGGTCGGCGGGAACGGGCCGTCGCCGCGGAAGTGCGACCGCGGCCGCGGCGCCCCCGGGCGCCGCCTCGCCCCCTGGCGGCCGCGCGGCCGCCCGCGCCTCGGCCGCGAGCAGCGGCGGCGGCCCCGGGGCTGGCGCCCCCTCGGCACGCTGGGTTCTGTGCCTTCAGCCAGCGCGTGACCTGTCGGTGGCCTTTGAGCCACGCAGGCCGCGCCTTCTTGTTCCCATGGTCTCCATGTGCTGGAAGCAGAGACTTCTCGTAGGTTGCTAGCAGCTCTTGTGATACTTCCGCCCTCGGCGGGAAGGCGTCGAAGGTCTCGCTCGGATTGTCTGGATCCGAGCAGCGCGCCAAGTATCTCAGGGCAGACGCTTCGCCGTTCGGGGCGGCCGCGGGAGCGATGCCCAAAATCTGCGTCTGCGGGATGAGATTGTTCTGTCCAGCACGCGCCGTCTGACATCGAGCGCAGAAGAATAGCCCGGCGGGGGGATTCTTCAGACACCCCGTGTAGAGTTCCATCTGCAGCGTGCCCATGTTTTCGCAACCGTCCAGCCCGCCACATATGAATCGACGCGCACCGTACTTCCCGTCCAGAAGGACAAGGAGATCGCCAGCACACTTCGGGCAAGCGCGGGCGTGCTCAACGGCGCGCTCGACGTCGGCTTGGCGCACGGCTGGCGCGAGAGCGAGCAACGTCGACTCCAAGCCGCCCCTGGTGAAAGGCCACGTGAGTTCGGATGTGGCGCCGCCGGCAAGGCGGGCAGCGTGGTGCGCATACCAAGCGTCCTCCAAGCGAACGCCAATGGCTCGTAGAAGCGTCAAGTCTTCGCCAGGAATCAGCCCTCGCTGCGCGAGCTCAGTGTGTTGCTCGCTCCATGCCAGAACTGCAGAATTGAATGTCCCCCCGCTGTGGTGTAGCTCGTCCGCGAGGAACTGCAATAGCTTCGCGTCGACGGCGTACCAAGCCTTCTCGCGCGGAACGAAGAAATACTTGAGGGAGCTGGACCCCGAAACGAGCTTGATGTTTATCATCTTCCCGTAAGTCCCTCGCCCGCTACTTCTGTCGTGCTTCTCGCACTGCCACTGCCCGAGGAAATGCAAGGCGCACTTGGGGCAGTATTCCTCCGAGAAGGAGGCGTTCTGGACCCCGGCGCCCATGGTGCAAACGCGGCACCGGTTCTCCAGAACCATCTTGCCGCCATTGCGCCTTTGAACATTGAAGGCCACCCGGCTGCTTGTCTTTGGGGCGCACTTCTGGAGGTCTGCAGCGTGGCACCGGGGGCAACGACCGTGAGTGGAGCGCACCTCAACTGTGGGGGCCGAAGGCACAAGCTTTTGCAGTTCTTTGAAGTACGGAATGTTGAAATCAAAATCAACGCCCTTGCCGATGTTAAGATAGTGAGCGAGCCTCCACATGACATTCGTCACGGCGTTGTCGGGCAACTCGACCCCGTGGTTCCGCTCCGCGAGCACCCGGACGAAAGGCACTGCCAAGGCCGAGGGGGCCGCGGAAAGCAGCCGCGCCACATCACCGAAGGCCGCCGGTGGAAGGGGAGCGAGCACTGTGGCCAGTGAGAAATCGCGCCCCAACGGAGCGCTTGCCGCCATCTGGCTCAAGAGAGCCTGGGCGCTTGAACCGACGGCGATGACCGGGGCGATGAAGGTGGAGACGACGCCCCTGGCGCGGGCGAAGGGCGATGCGGGGGGCCCTGGTCTAGTTCGAAGCTTCCACACTCAGACACCCGCGAGGCTTCTCAGCCCAGAAACCCACGGCCTTGTAACCCAAAACACCCCCCTTCAACCCCGAGCGCCCTTCCGGGCACCCCCCTTAGTCCGTTGTCGCGCACGTCGTCTGTCGTCGCGTCCGCTGTGGTCGTCGTCGTCGTCGTCGCGCCCGTCGTCGTCGTCGTCGTGGTCGTCGTGGTCGTGGTCGTCGTCGTCGTCGTCGTCGTCGGTCGTCCGTCGTCGCCCGTCGTCCGTGGTCTGTCGTCCGTCATCGCGTCCATCGTCCCTAGTCGTAAAACCACATCCTGTTCCTTTTCCCCCTCCTTCCCCGTCGTTGCCGGGCCTTCAAAGGGGGATCCATTTTGTGGATCCCCCCCGAATCGGCTGGCGGAGCCCTGGTCGAGCCCGTCGTCGTCGTCGTGTCGTCGCGTCGTCGCCGTGGTCGTCGTGGTCGTCGTGGTGGTCGTCGTCGTCCGTCGTCGACCGTCGCCGTCCGGCGTCCGTCGTCCTTGGTCTGTTGTCCGTCAACGCGTCCGTCGTCCCTATAGTCGTAAAGCCACATCCTTCCGTCCCCGTCGTCGCCGGGCCTTCAAAGGGGGATCCATGTTGTGGATCCCCCCCGAGGTCGGCTGGCGGACGCCCTGTAAATTGCGGCGTCGCCGGTTCGGGGCCGGCCAAGCCGACTGAGGGTCGGCGAGAAGTTTTTTCAGGGCCGGCAAGAAGCTGGCTGAGGGCTGGCTCATGGGCCAGCTCGACCGCTGGCTAGAGGCCGGCTGCAGGCCTGGCGGCCAGGCAGAGGCCAGCAAGGCCGGCTATCAGGCCGAGGGCCAGCGAAAAGGGGCAGCCTATGATTTGGACGCCCGAAATGGGCACGGAAATGGGCAACCACGCCCAACAACACATGTTGTCCCAAACCAAAGGCGGCCGCTGTTGGGCAGGCGGCCTCCTGTCTCGAATGGACACAGTCCGCGGCGGCGCGGACAGCGAATCCTGTTCAAAGTGAACAGGAACTGCTGTTGGGCATTGTGCCCCTTTTTTCCGCGCCCATTTCGGGCGCCCAGATAAGAGCGGGGCTGGCTAGAGGCCAACTAAGGACTTCCTATAGGGCCAAGTAGAAGCCAGCTAAGGGCCAGCTCAAGGCCGGCGAAGGGGGCGCCAGGGGCAAGGCCGGGTAGAGGCCAGGCCGGCGAAAGGCCAGCCACAGGCCGGCTTGTGGCCGGCCGAAGGCCGGCTGAAGGCCAGCTGGAAGCCGGCTGAAGGCTCCGGCCGGCCGAGGGCCGGCTGGAAGCCGGCCAGGGGCAGGCTTTGGTGGGCTGGCTGAGGGCGGCGCGCGGGGGTCGCTGATGTCGGCCCCTCGCTGGCCAGGGGGCGGCCGGGCTATAAAGCTGACCGAAGACTGACTGGGCTCCGCGCCGGGCACAGGCTGGATTATAAATCGGATTATCGGCCGGCGAAAAACGGGCCCACGCGCGGGTCGGGGGCGGGCCGCGGGCCGGGGCGAATCCGGCGCGGAACCAGGCCACGACAAGCTGGCGCCCGGCCCACGTGGAGCCGCGAACCAGCCCAGGGTCGGCGTGGGGAGTTGGGCGGCGTCCCAAGCGCAAGCTCGCGAATAAATCTGCGGCCTCGAAGGCGTTCGTCCTTCCCGTCTGCCGCCTTCCTGCCCTGCTGCCCCCGCCCCTTTCCCGAGCGGCAGAGAGAAGCGTTTTTGGGCTTGCCGTTTCCCCCGCGCGCCCGCGGCCGGGCTACTGGCCGCCGCCCCAGCCCCCGTCCGGGGGGGCCCGCCGGTCAGGGGCCTTCCACCAGTGGTATTTGAGGAACTTCAGGGTGCCGGGGTTCGCTTTCCCCATGATCCAGGACGTGAACATCCTGTGGTGCCAGAGCTCGTGGTCGTGTTTCTTCGAAGTCTTGAGCTCGCTCTTCAAGTCCTGGACGGTGGTCTTAAGTCCTGGGCGGCGGTCTGTAGTTCGGCGTTCTGTTCGGTGAGTTTTTGAAGTTGCCGTTGTAGTTGGTTGGTGGCTCGGTTGTCTCCTGTCGTTCGGCAGGCGAGGGCCCTCTGCAGGTTCCTCTTGTCCTCGCTCAGGCGGTCCACTTTGGCGCCAAGGTTCCGAAGCCTACGGGCGGGCGAACGCATCCATTGCCCGCCGCCGTTCCTTGCTGCTCGGTCCGCGGCAAGGGCACGGGGGCCCCCGCGGGACTGAGCAACTGGAGCGAACAGGGCGGGAGTGGGTAAGCGTTGCCCCGCCCGGCCTCCCGTTCTCTTTGGCGTACCTGTTGCGCTCCAGGGTTTTCGCCCTCAGCTGCTTGGTCAAGGCCGATATTTTCTGGGCGTGTTCTTTCTTGACTTGGATTCGGTTTTTTTTGAGCAGGCCGACCACCCGAACGCTCTGAGCGAACTTGCGTGCACGCCGTTCCCTTCTGCGCAACTTGTTGGCGATGACCTTATCCCTGTAGCGCTTGCTCTTCTTAGGAGGGTCCGTCATGGGCCAAGCGCGTGCCCAGGGATGATTGATCTCGGGAGGCTGCGGAAGGAGAGGGAGTGGAGGAAATGAGGGAGCAAGGCAGGATAGGGAGAAGAAGGAAGATGAGCAAGGGAAGAGTGGCAATGAATGGCAAGAGGGAGGAGGGATGACGGAGAGGGGGAAAATGACGGGGCAAATGAGCACGGGGGTGAAGGGAAGGGGAGGGCGAGGAGGCTATCGAAACAGGCGGGGGTGCACAGGCGGAAGATGCCACGAACGTCCCATGGTGTACCTGTGGCCGGGTCCTCGCGAGAGAGCAAGTCTTGAGGCTGAAATTGCGAGGACGTCTCAGGCGGAACCGACCAGACCAACTCAAATCAAGACGTCTCGGAGCCCAGAGGTCCGAAGATGCCTCATGGGAAATGGGCTGGAGCACTTCGAAAACCGCACATGGGATGCCCCAGTATGGCCCATGAAGGCCCAAAGAGGGCTCCAAAACGGCCCCCAAGAGGGTCCAAAGAGCGGAAGTTCGACAGACTCCTGTATGAATGATTCGTCCCCGTCGTCATCCTGGTCGCTAACAATCGCCTTCGCCCCCATCGTTCTCCTCCTCCTCCTCCTCCTCCTCCTCCTCCTCCTCGTCTTCCTTTTCCCGTCCAGCCCTTGTCCTTCTCCTGATCCCCCAGCCCTCCCCGTCTGCGTCTCCTGATCCTTCTCCTCCTCCTCTACCTCGTCTTGCTTCTCCTTCTCATCTCCTTCATTTTTGAAACCATCATCACCGTTATAATCATCATCATCACCACCACCACCATGATCATCATTATCGCCGTCATCACCACCGTCCTTCCCGCTGCTGTCCACATGTCCACATCATCGTGACCATCATCAGCAACATCATCATCAGTGCCGTCATCACTATCATCATCATCATCATCATCATCATCATCATCATCATCATCATCATTATCATCAGATTCATCACCATTATCATCATGATCATCGGCATAATCACCATCATCATCCTTCTCACCATCACCATCGTCATCATCGGCATCGTCATCATCATCATCATCATCCCCCCCTCGTTTCCGCAACTCCGCACCATCATCGTCGTCGCCATCATGATCATGATCACGATCACCATCATGTTCAGCATCATAATCATCATCATCACCACCACCACCATCACCATCATCATCATCATCATCATCATCATCATCACCACCACCACCAACATCATCATCATCATCGTTTTCATCAGCATCATCATCAGCATCAGCATCAGCATCAGCATCAGCATCATCATCATCATCATCATCATCATCATCATCATCATCATCATCATCATCATCATCATCATCATCATCATCATCATCATCATCATCATCATCATCTACATCTACATCTACATCTACATCGCTATCGTCATCGCCATCGTCGTCATATCATCACCCTTCTCATCATCATCGTCATCGTGATGGCCAGGTCCTGGCTGGGTCCAGGCCAAGCCCGGGCCGGGTCCTGGACGGATCAGGGCTGGGTCCAGGCCGGGCCGGGTCCAGGCCGGGTCCGGGCCGGGTCCGGGTCCGGGCCGGCTCCGGGCCGGGTCCCGGCCGGGTCCGGGCCGGGTCCAGGCTGCTGGGTCCGGGTCCGGGCCGGGTCCGGGCCGGGTCCGGGTCCGGGCCGGGTCCGGGCCGGGTCCGGGTCCGGGCCGGGTCCGGGCCGGGTCCGGGTCCGGGTCCCGGGCCGGGCCGGGTCCGGGCCCGGGCCGGGTCCGGGCCGGGTCCGGGTCCGGGCCGGGTCCGGGCCGGGTCCGGGCCGGGTCCGGGCCAGGTCCGGGCCGGGGGCCGGGTCCCGGGTCCGGGTCGGGCCGGGTCCGGGCCGGGTCCGGGCCGGGTCCGGTCCGGGCCGGGTCCGGGCCGGGTCCTCGGGCGGGCCGGGTCCGGGCCGGGTCCGGGCCGGGTCCGGGCCGGGTCCGGTTCCGGGTCCGGGTCCGGGCCGGGTCCGGGCCGGGTCCGGGCCGGGTCCCAGGCCGGGTCCGGGTCCGGGCCGGGTCCGGGCCGGGTCCGGGCCGGGTCCGGGCCGGGTCCGGGCCGGGTCCGGGTCCGGGCGGGCCCGGGTCCAGGCCGGGTCCGGGCCGGGTCCGGGCCGGGTCCGGGTCGGGTCTGGGCCGGGTCCGGGCCGGGTCCGGGCCGGGTCCGGTTCCGGGTCCGGTTCCGGGCCCGGGTCCAGGCCGGGTCCGGGCCGGGTCCGGGCCGGGTCCGGGTCGGGTCTGGGCCGGGTCCGGGCCGGGTCCGGGTCCGGGCCGGGTCCGGGCCGGGTCCGGGCCGGGTTCGGGCCGGGTCCGGGCCGGGTCGCCGGGTGGGCGCCGGGTCGGGGAAGCCTTGTCAACACCTTTCTGACTTGATTTCATGGGCGACGTGGGCAACTTGAAGTTCGCGCTCGGCTTCCTCGACAACGACCAAGTGGTGGTAATGGCTACGACAGGGAG